AAAAAAGCAAACGATAATTTACAAGGCGTACTTAGCACGGTGCATAGACAACTGGCTGAGTCAGTGGGATTGTCGGTTCGAATCCTACTGAAAGAAGTCTGATGAGGAATGTGGTGATTTCCTTCTACCATTTTTTTTCAAATTATTGTTGCTTTTCCACAATAAATTTTCATTAAAAAAACGGCCTCGAGCTCAATATAAATTGTTGAATTTAATAACAAAGTAAATGCAATTCGAATCTTGAAATATCTTAATTTTAGAAATGGACAATAAATCACTTATGCTAATATTTGCAGAGTGTTCAGCAGCTAACACACCATTGATCTCCATACCATTTAGCAGGATAGGGTTGACAATATTTAACCTGCCCAGAGTGACTGACGTTAAAATGGTTTCCAATTCCATTATAACTGCTCTATTTCTGGTGGAGGATAGAGAAAAGAGATATCTCGTATCTATTTGAGTGCTTTTTGTATTTTGTAATAATTTATTTACTGTCACTGTCAATTCGTCTATTTTCTTTTATGTAGCTGAATTTTCCGCTATTTGTTGTTCCTTTGTGTCTAATAGGGCATTGGTTCTGGTCTCGAGCATTTGAAAGTCGTCAGAGTCTGGAGTCCCTGTTATGTATTTCAAGGCATTCCCCAGAATGTTAATACTTCTAGCGTACCGATGGTGTATTTTTATCGCGTCCAGTAGTTGTAATATGTCATTCTCCAGTAGTCGTTTAATATGTGATTGTGGTAATTGGATCAGTAGTTTGTCCGTCTCCTCAGCTATTGCTTCGAATGCTGACAAATTAGTTTGGTGAAGTAAGAAGCCATGCTGCTCATAAACAACTACAGCTCCGGATGTAATTGGGATGTAGTAAGAGTTGGTACAATCGAGTATTTCTGCGTTGGCTCGAAAGCTTAACGAGAGCAAAATTATCCTAAGGGCGACAAAGGAGAGAGCGGTCAGTGTCTTAAATTATTTTTGTGCACTTTTCGTTCATCAATTATAATAAATGTACGAAGATCCTTTTGGATTACTTTTTCGGTGTAAAGTTTTGAAAACTTGTTTCCTATTCTTTTATTAGTTTTCACATAAACTTTATCCCCAGGATTATACTGTCGTGTTTGTCTATTTTCATTATGTCTTTGTAAATCTTTCGTCCGGTGTGTTGCTGTGTGTTGCTGTGGCTAGCAAAATTAGCTCGATTGTGTCAGAGATACCAGTCTCAAGCTTCTGACAGCGGGCAATTTCCGTAAGGCTACTGTGGAATCTTTCCACTTGTCCGTTAGTCGTACAATGGGCGGGGGGCGTTTGGGCTGGTGTAGATTTCGACGCTAAAGTGATTTTTAAGTATTGATTTAATGGTTTCCGAATTCGACGATCTCTCATTGTCACAGACCAACACCTTAGTATTTCTGTGAAAATTGAGAAGTTCGTATATGGATTCTTTAACATCAACTATGGCTCTAGATTTTATTGGAAATACTATTGCAAACTTTGAGAACTTGTCTATTGATGTTAGGAAATGTGTCTTATCGGTGGAGTAAATGTCGACATGAAGGATTTCTCCCGGATATTCAGGTAAAGGAGTCGATCCTATTTCTGGGTTTGGAGGATGGCGTTGGTATTTGGTCTCGTGACATATCTTGCAATTAGAAATTATTTCCCTCAAAATTTTCCGTATTTCAGGGAAATAATAACTTTCAAGGACCTGTTCCTGGTTTTCACGGAGTGACCGATGAGCTAGGTTGTGTTCGGTTTGAAGAATCTCGCGCTGGTCATGGGATGGGCAATTCACACTGCAAGCCGTTCACAACATTTGGGTTGACACATTGTTTTATAATTTTCATCAGTTCTCCTACATTATTGAACGATATTCGGTGCCTCATTCGGGATTTAAATATAATTTTCGAGCTAATTGCTGTGTGATTTCCTTCTTCAAGGACTATTTGATTCCGAAAAAAATTTATGGGGTTATTTACAGTGGGAATTGCTTGATACAGCGACTCACAGTGGTTCGGATCGCAAATCTAGCTGGACGAAACTATTTAAACAAATACTCGTTGATGGATCTTTACACCACTTCTTACCTAGGGGATTTTTGGGTCGCTGATTACGAATCTGAAGTCACTTATCAAAAATCGGTAGATTTCTATGAAACTGGGTATCTGGGAGTTTTCTGGGTCGCTGATTACATATCTAAAGTCATTTACCAAAAATTCAAAATGGGGAATCCAATATGGCGGACGAAAATTTAAAAAAATCGGTAGATATCTATGTAACTGGGTATCTGGAGATTTTCTGGGTTGCTGATTACGAATCTAAAGTAATTTACTTTATTTACTTCGGAACGAGCAATTTCATCAGATATTTCTTACAATTTACTAATCACATAATCACGGACACCTTGTTGTCTTTTAGAAGTTTCTGCAACACCAAATGTCAAACAACTTACTTCTTAAGATTTTATTTACCATGACTAAAACTTAAGATCACAGCAATAAACACAAATAAATTTTAGAAAAAATTGTATAACAGCGCTTAAAGATTTGCATGCCTGTTGTATAATTTTTTAATTTCAGAAAGCAGAAAATTCGCGAGGTACTATTTTTTTAACTCTTACATAACCAAAGGTTTTATAACTCCAAGTATTTTTCTTTTTTAACACACAACCCCTTCCCCCCTTCTGCCCCGTGGATCCGCCACTGATCTTATATTTATATTCAGATACATTCCTGTTAAAAACTACTTTTGAATTTTGAGATTTGACATACCGTTACTAAATTGTAAACATCTAAGCCAATTGGTTAGACTTGGTTATCGAACTTACACTCTGCATTTGCGAAGGTGTAAAGAATAATATGCAAGTGGTTTTATAACGGCCTTCGGCGGCCTTTACTTTTCCTACTCTTTAATTTATTTTTTTAATTAATCAAAACGACAATTTTTCAGAATAAATTTGCTTATACCAATGTGGACATAAATTGCGTTATGACCTCTGAATCTATAGCGAAATAAGTGTAATTTTTTGTTTATAAAGTCAATTTGCTGTTATACAAATATCTGTGAGTGCAATTAGCAATCATTTAAGTTAAATTTCAGCTTTTAAAATAGAGTTCTCAAATAGGCGGCGTTGACTTACCTTTTTTTGTTTGTTTTCATATGTTAATGCTTTAATAAATGCAATTTCTATTTGAATGTATTGTCAGGAATGTATTCCAAGTACCATTAAGTAATTTAAAAACAAAAAAAAATTTGACTTTCGTCCAGCTAGATCTGCTATCCGAACCACTGTGCGACTCTTCGCTATTCGCAGCCATGCTTGCTGAGTCCATGTCATGGTCTAATGCATTTATATGTTGTCGGGAGAGGGCGTCCGCGACGAAGTTTTCCTTACCAGGCTTGTAAAGAAACTGCGGTGAAAATTCCTCAACAAAGGCACGCCATCTTTTCATTTTCGCGTTCGCGTTGATGGTCGGTGTAAATCAAGGATGATAGAATACAAGATTGCGCCGATTGCAGCAGAATTCGTGAGAGTAATTTTGGCGTGACGTCACCGTAGAGTTGACAACAGAGAGCAGCAAATAAAACTGCTGTCTAGTGATGTGATGAATTGTCGGTACCCAATACTAAAAAGAGGTTTCGGTACCCAATACTTCGTTATCGGTATCCGAATCATTACTAATTTATATGATATCGGCTAAAACACTTGAACTTATCGAAAAAGAGAAATATTATTTTATCAGTTTTAACCCTTCAAGAAAAATACTTTGGTGGATGAAGAACCTTTTAGGGGAGGTGCGGGGTGGATTCTGTAACCAGTTTGCGACAAGTTTCGGATTGATATCGTACTTATTGGCGTAAAAATATTTCATATCATACGTCAACGAAACCGATACCGATTCGAAAATTGTCGCTAACTGGTTACAGAATCTGTCGCTAACTGGTTACAGAATCAGCCTGAATGATATCGTCCGATTCAGCTGGAACAAAAATGCTTCAAACAAGTAAAAGTTTCTCTGTATTATGGCCTCGAACCGACATATATACATCTTTAATTTGAATCAGTATTAAAAGCTCTATTGGCTTC